AGCAAAGACCTGGCACATAGATTTATGAAGTGAACACTTCTTTCCACTTCTGTGGCATGATAATTTTGAAACATAATGAAGACCAGGGAAGTAGTACCACTGTTAATTGTTCCTTCTGATTTATAGTCACTTCACATTGCAGAGTAGACAGTGTATCCTAGGGTCCCATTTATTAGAGTGAAAGGACCCCATGGAACACGAAACAGAAASACAGTCACATAAGAAAAATGTGGGTTAGAGCTGCACAGCCATTGAGGTTAAGTAAAATTGTTTATAAAAATGTAATTTAACTGTTGGTTTCAAAAACACATTTTACAGTTCAGCTTACACGTGTAAAGTAGGGAATATCATATCTATTACTAAGGAAAACCAGGTAACAAAGAGAGACAATAGTAGGGAAGAAGGTGGAATCTGAATCCTGTCTCCCTTAATTTCATTATAATTGTTGAATTTGCCATGTATTCAGCAACAAAGMAGTCCAGATTTCATTTCCTTCTTCAAAACCTTCATATAGACAAAAATCCACAAAATTACCTAGACAGATTGTGTAGGTAATTTTAAAAATTACCTGGATTTTAAAAGGTTGGGATTTTTTTAATGTGATAAAGTTCTCTTATCTGTTTAGTAATCACATCACTTAAAAGGTCATGCATCTTGCCTGTTCTACACCAAGTAAGTAGTTCTTAAGTGGTGTAAAGTTCTCATGCCTTTTTCCCTTGAAGATAACATATTATGTTTATGCAGACTGAATGCTGAGATTTATGTTCCCATTTGATTATGTATTGATGTTGATAATCAATGACTGTCTTCAAACTCAGTTGTGTGGATTAATTTGATTATTTCTCTCCCAATTCAGGAAWTGTACAACTAGGTTATTGGTTTGGACAGGCATCCCAAGGTGGCTTCTTTCCTGTATTGCAAATAGCCATGACATTTTTCCTGTCCTAAAACACTGCTGTCCAAGAAAATTCAGCTCTTACTTGTTACCTTCTTCCAGCCTGTTGCATTCAAGGGGTCAGTGTGGCTTAWCTGGAAAGAAACCATCACGGTACCAAAAACTCAAAGTGGAGTTCCTCTGTCCTTATGTTACTGTGATCAGATGTTACTGAGCTTCAGGCTCCTTCACTTGATTCTCACGTTTKTTCATTATCTGACTTGCAGTTTGTTGTGATACCTGAAATTGTTTCAACATATTATTGTAATTTAGATTTTTATATTCATGTGCTAACTTCTTGCTCCATTCTGCATTTCTTTCTCTGCTCAGTAAGTGCTTCCAAGTGCTGTTTAAACCCTCCTGATGTGTGTACTCTGGGCTCAAACTTTGTGCATCTTCAAACATTTAACTTTTTACCTGCACAGGAGGTTCTGACTGAGTAGAGTCACTTCCCTTTGTAGACTTCAGGGAGGGTAAACAAGTTGCCCTGACTCAGGGATATCCTCAGGACTGTCCTCAGGACAAATTGTATTTGGCAGTAGTTAACATAGCTCAGGAAGAGGGGTGGCCAATGCAAAAGGGCATTCGAAAACAGTTTAGAGAATTTAGGATAGTCTACAAAGCAAATACTACCAATATTAATATATCCATAGAAATATAAGCAATATATATAGAATTTTACTGCTCTGGATGGTTAGCAGAGAAATTGGGTTTGAACCTGCTTTTCCAAATCGATGTATTTCAAAACAGTTAACAGTAAGTTACAGAAAGCTATGGATGTCAGAAGCCAAAAACATAAACTACATTAACAAGACCTGTTGTGTTAATATATGATAAGGTTAAAGGATCCTATTTTGTGCATTTTTACTTCTATGGTTAAATTTGCAAACTTGAGAATTCTCAGAATTTTCACAATTCTTCTGATTTCTTCAGTAACTTCTATTATTTTTGCATTTAGAGTTATCTTCTCTTGGGATTTCATTATCTCTGGGCAGAGGCTGCTTTTGTTTGAAAGAGGAGTTGCAAATGTCAGAAACCACTGGAAAAAATGGCAGAAGATGTTGTTACATCTTTTAATTGGATATAGAGTAGAAAGATATTTCTGTTCTTCCATTTTAATGTCCTGTTTGTGTTATGCAGAAAAAGGTCTACAGCCTTGTGGGTTATGTTRGAAGCTAGACGTGTGGCCTTTCACTGTGCACTGAAGTGTTTTATGTAGCACAGTTAAATAAGCTTGAAAAACTTGGTTTTTTTGGTAATGAAGGTGCAGATATATCCCGAACCATGCAAAATTATAAGCCTGCCTTTGTGAATAGGCAAGATGGACTGGTGTTCTATTGTTATCTGACTTCCCTTTTCTTTCTCACACACAGAATTTTTATCAAAGCTGTGAGAAATATACTGTCCTGTTTCAAACAGTACAAAGATGCCTGAATTAGCAGTTATGTATACCAAAAGATTCCACATAGTGACTTCCACATAGAAGAACTGCACTGTCAAACCCATAGTACTGAATTATGTATGACATTTTTAATGGTGGAWCAAATGGAGTAGCAGAAGGAGGTGCTGCAAAGTACGTGCTGCTTTTGCTGGTTATTAGGCATTAGTTTACATGCCTGCAAATCCCAAGATATTCTTTATTGAAACTCTGGTGCTGTGCTATTCAGATCAAAGCTKTATGAAAGCCATACCTAATGAGGGAAGAATAAATAACAGAAAAACTCTGACACAGGGAAGTGCAGAATGAATATCAACTTATTGTACTTCAGGGAGTGAAAAATAAAGTTCTCATATCTGGCTGGTTGCTGAAAGTATCAGCCAGTGTCAATATTTACTGTACAATAATTGAAAGGATTAGTCTTATTTGTTAGTCCACAGTGATGATGCCTCTCACTGTCTGTTCAGTGAAAACTGGGAGAATGTAACTAAAATTATTTACAGAAGAGTTGCTGCATTTTAAGTGGCAGCTGCATCTAAAGTCAGTTCATTGAAATTCCATACCCTGTTGGATTTATTGCTTACATCAATTTGATATTGAAACCAAATACTTGGTGTCTGAAAGCTRAGACTGACTTAACATACCTGCTCTAAAGGTATTTTTTTAATATCCAGAAGGTTTCAGTGAACTTCAGTATTGATTTTCTTCCCAAATGCACCAAACYCTAGACTAGGCATTTTTGAGCCTTTTGCAATAGTATTACTAACATAGATCAAGTGTACTGTTTCTATGCCAGATTATTAAAAAAAAAAATACTGTGTTGTAAAAAATTATTTATAGTTTTTGTGAAGAGTTTGTTGCTTGCCAGTGCTGTCAGGCCTGAAGCTGACACCACCTTGGTGATAGCAGGGTGTTTGATCCATCCATCCAGGATGCTTTATTGTTGGCTAGGAAAGAACCTACCCCAGGASTCCCAGTCATTCTCACAACAAAAGCAAACTTTTCTCTTCTCATATGCAGACTTGACCCTKCAGAGAGGTCMCCACCACTCCCYTCCCCTTACCTGTGGAGTTCAGCTKTTTCTCACGAGCTCCCTCCTTACCAGCATACAGAACCCAAAAGTGCCTTGCAACTGCCGGCTGCTTATGCTGTTGCCTGTCACAAATAGCAATTTATTGTGACATGGTCAGTAGTTTTCCATGTCCTAATGTTTTGCTTAACCTCTGGCCAGGCCCTAATGAGTGACCTCCGTATTTGCCTGCCTGCAGGCCAAGAACTGGCTTCTTGGCCCTTGTAACCACCCCTTAAAAGATTACCGTCGCACAGTTATAAAATGATGTATGTTGCCGGAGGGACTTCTAGGGAGAACAAAAAATTCAAATTTATTGGTCACTCTCTGGAAGACTGAGAGTAAACTGCTCTGCTCCCAAGTGGGCTTCGTTGAAATCAAATGTACCAAAGTTTCTCACATCTTTCTGCTCCTCAGTTGCAGCTGTTTTTTTCAGTGTTTCAATGCTATGAGTTTTGCAGRGTAGACAAAGTTGCTTGAGACATGRTTCGTTGTAAAAAAGAGAAATGATGGAAAACTTTAAGGGGAAGCATCCCAGAGAGGAGCAAAAAGAAACAGTTTACTAACAGGCCAGGCTTGAAAAGACTTGCAAAGATAAAAACATTGCCATAGTCACAGTGCTGCTTTCCAGATATGCAAAGACTGAAAAAAAAAGAGGAAAATTATTTTTCAGTGCATGAAGACTTAGTGTTAAAGGTTATCCTGCTACTCTTAAGCTCTGTTGTGTTGCCAGCAAAGTATTACTGTGTCACCAGCAATTTAGTGCAAACTTGATTATTGGTATTTTGATAGCCAAACTCTGGTAGGTCTAACTCAATTTCAGGCTCTCTAGCATCTTCTCATTTATAATATCCAATTTTCAAAGCTATGATGTGTTATTACCACTGGTAATGCTGCTGTCAATTCATCTTGGCTTCCTTGCATGGAGTTATTTTTATTTATTTATTTTTACTGCAAGTCACTGAGTACACTCAATTGGTTGCTATTTTAACAAGATCTCTGGAGAACTCATCAATGATAATGCATGTWAAGAAAAAAGCCAGAAAGCAATTTAATACCAAAGAGGTACCAGATGAGTGGGCAAGAATCCAGAGCCAAAAAACTTTAAACATGGAAAGACTTTGTTAGCATATGCTTGTGCCGCACTTAGAACACATAATGAGGACAAGAGAAGAGGCAAATCTCACTGGAGTGAGTAGCAAGGTTTGGTATCAGCSAAGTGATCACATTGTCCCTTCTGTTACTTGTGGATTACTTAGATACATTTCTAGCATTGCAATTACACTGTGTATTTTCCTTAAAAATGCCTCTTGAAATATTTATAAAGTCTATTTGAAAAGTATAGCTTTTTTCCAACTTTTCATCTATTTTTTTTTTTACCACAAGACATATTCAGATTAACCTGGGAAAGAAGTACTGAGAGTAGTAGACTATTTCCATATGTGCTGTCCAAAGACAAGTGCTCCTCAGTGTTTTATGKTCCTAAGTATAATCCTGATGTGGTTCTAAATGTTAAATATATGTGGTATTTTGACACATACAATCTTCTCTGTTTSCAGGTGGGCCATGCACAGGTACAGCTCATGCCTCATTAACCACACCAACCAAAAGATCTTGCGACTCAGGTATGTGTTTTGTGGGATCAAGGAATTAGATTTGGCATTATATTTAGCAGTTATAGTTTAATAGTRAAGGCTAATAACCATACCTGACAAATGCCAAATGAAAATAAATACTGTTGCTTCGCTGACAGAAATGTACATACAAAAGGATTCATATATATGGCTGATAGTTCATCTGAAAATCCTGCTAAAAATAATTCTRTAAATACACTCTGTTTTCAGTTAATCTTTGTAAAAACAAGACATACAGGCATAATCAGTTTAARTCTAATGATTGTGGCAGTGTTCTGKAAATCCTGCCCTTGAAATGYAAAGTATTGAGTRKAAAACTGTTCCGAGTACATTGACTTTTCCTGATTGAAGATATAGTATAGAGAGCTGGTGTTTGCATTGAGACTAAATTTTACCTGCTTTGGTCCTTTCAATGCCTTTTTTTCTACATGCAGAATATAGATGGATAATGTCTCAAAGTGCTGGTATTAGTAATGACAWATAAAGTCATTGCCAGGCTGAAGTCACTGCTTCTGCATCAGATTTATCCTGAAGAATTGTGTGTGCACTCATTCAGTCAGGCAGCCAAGTTATCWGTGTTGGCTCAGGTCTTCTCCAGGCTTTGGTTTTGTGTGGATTAAGGAGAACTCACATGAGCCTTTCCACCAGTGCCACTGTTGGAAGCCATAACATCCTGTGGAGTGGCAGGTCTGTAGCTAGTGGTAATGTTCTAGCAGTCTGTGTTTGCAAAATAATTTTTGCCTATATTTGCATTTATGTGCTGGTGTTCCTGTTTGAGTAAGAGCCCTTGCTCTTTAATGAATTCAAGGGAAGTTTCCTCTGAAGTCATTCTTTCCAAAAGTAGTTAACAAGCTGAACAGTAGTTATTCCATAGGTGGATGTTGTTACCTTGCAGCARATGTGTGAGGATACCAGTTGGCTTGTTCTGCAGTGAAGGAAGGTTACAGGGAAGCTGCATTACCTTGGGCTTGGCACAGGTGCAGACTTCTCAARTAACACATGAGAATCTGTGACAATGCTGTGAGTGTTGTTTGCCAAAGAACTCTCTGACTTTGGAACTGGAAGATAGTTCTYCAGAACAGGAAGGGTGGTTTTTCTTTTCCGTGTAGCCATGGAGGTGAACCTAAACAAGATGGAATGTTTGCCACTATATCCCTTGCAAAYTAATCGGCTTTGCTCATGGTATTACTAAATTGTATTTTCTTTATATGTTAGCTGTTGTAATGTTTAACTGGTTTTCATGGCAGAGTAATTTAAAAGTTTTCCATGGTGCTATAGATACAGYAAACTAAGAGTACTGTTGGATTTTTTTTGTGTGTGTGCTTCGCAAAGAGAAATGCAAGTTCATTGTTTGGAGTGTCAAATGGCAATGGTATAAATTCTTTGGAGTACACAGATGAAGCTGTGAGACATATTGAAAAATGTTATGCGTTTGGCTAACTTTGTTCAGTAGTTGTCTCATTTTTGGTTTGTGCTCTTGTTTGGGCTGTACATGCTTGTTTTTTATTTAGTGTTTTGACAAAAAATGAGGAGATGACCTTAATTTAATACTACAACTTTAATCTTCAGTCAACTAAATCTGCTGATTTTTTATTATGTCAATTTCCCCTGAGGTTCTTACATTATTTGCTCAGTAATCTACATATTATCTTTATAGTCCCTTACACTAATAAACCTGTTACCAGGAGTTAGTTTTCTTCTCCAGATGTTGAATTTTTAGCAAACTTTCATTTTTAAAATAAATTACTGTGTTGTCATGAGACTTGATAAGAAAACATTGGCTACAAAATATTACCCAGAAGTGCTGTGAKGTCTTCAGGCATGAGCAGCATACCATGTAGGTGAACATTTGTGATGGTTTAACCACAAGGCCAAATCGTAGCCCCATTAGCTGCAGTGAAGAAAATTAACTCTCTCCTGGCCACTATTAACTCTCTTCAGGACATTCCTTCACACTAGAATTACTTTCTAGGAAGCTACTTAAATGACACAAGCCGTGTTTGTCAACACTACACATTGTGCACAAGCCTATTTTATGTAAGTATTCTACATTTCTTCTGCTTGGAAGAGTTTGAGGAAAGAATTTTGTGTTGAATTTWATCTGTGTAATTCTGTTCACCCTTCAAGCATAGTTTTTCCCTAAAGTTCCCTAAATCAGCATTTGAGACAGAAAATTAGAAATTTGACCTACTTATCTTATGTGTAAGTTTCAGTCAAGATATTAAGGAAGACACAAACCTTTCATATTTTATCAGCATGATTGCAACAATTGAAGAAGGATCAAAACATTAAATCTGCCTTGGCACAGGAAAAGTTCTCTTGGAAAAAAAAAGAGGTTTTACCCAATGCACTTGTCAACCTGCATGCTGTAGGAGCTGTTCTGATAAAAAATAGTATTATGACACCAAATAGTGAGGTTTTTCCTCCTGTTCACCAGAGYCATCACTGTGGTAAAAAGTATTTCTATTCCAGTGTACCCACAGGACAAGGATTATAATGAAAGAATGAATAAAGCCTTGCAATCATTAGTTTGGATGATGACTCCAAGGTTTTTGAGAGCTGGCAGTCTGAAGATTTTGTAGGAAGAAAGATGGAACTGTGTGGCCCAGTGTATAGYTTCTTATGTATTTTGATTTGTTTCTTAATGGTTGGGTAATGTAATGATTGATGGCAGGTACTGCGAGGCTTGCTCTCATCTGCAGGGCATCCACATCCTRTTTGTATCAGGTGCCCATGTTGGGAAAGTACAGTACCAAGTGGCATATTACTCTTGTTTTTCTGCTCTACAACTTTAATGATGATTTACTACACAACTCTGAACAGCCAGATTTTATAACAGTTTTATGCAGCTTAAAGATACCTGGAAAAAAATCWATGGAACTGTGTGAGTGCGCTCAGTTAATTCTTAATTGTGCGGTGGAGAGCGTGGTAGAAATAGGCAGATAAAATGTGGTAATGATACAATCAATTCATACATTATATCCATAAAGTTGGTGGGGTTTTAAGTATTTTATTTCTCAGTAGCAGTTCATGAGAAATGTACATCTGTAATATTTTGTGTAGTTATATGTGTAGATAGCTCACATTTTATGAGAATATCTGTCATAGATTGGTGTGGTAGTGTTTATATTGTACAAGATGAGTATSTGTCTCTTTGTTCTATGTGTTTTCWAGTTTAAAATYTGAGTCTAAAAGATGGAAATAATTCTTTTGCTGCTTGAGTAAAGTGGTTAAACAGGGCTGTGGTCCTTTTTGAAGTTTTGGATTTACTGATGTTCTTGTACTAAGACATGTGCTTGCTTGTAGCAGTGCCAGGAATCCAAATGCTTTGAGGCTGAACCTGCACAACTGAGAGGACAGCCTCTGAGGGGTTATAGGAAGGTCAAGTTGTGGAAGTAGAGGTACACAGATTTTCAGCTAGAGACAAAACCATTAAATCATTACATTGATATGATCATTTTTTTAATCAATACACAATACACAAATGTGTTGAGTAAGGACAAAAGGACCTCATGCWCCACTAATTAGATTTTCTTTTTTATTAGCTCTAAAGTGTTAAGCTCCTGAGCAAAAAAATACACAAAAGATTATTGAAGGGGGCTTTATAGCATTAAACCAACTTTGAGGTATGTTTTTCATTGGTGTTCCAAGAGACTATTRAGGTGTTCTTTAGTATTTGACTTCTGGAGGGCATTGTGTTGAAATCCAGCCTTCTTGGAGCTCTCTCACCGACAAGAAAGTGATGATATAACAGCCTTTGAGCAGCATAATAAATCACCCAGCCCTAGCAATAATAGTGCCCATTAGGGACGCTCCTCCTCCCCCCTCCGCTCAGTWTCCAGCTGTACTAATAGAACAGCACATCAAGCAAGGCTGTAAATAAAAGTTACAACCTAATAGGTGGTTGCTGAAGTGGAACGGACGGGAGCTGAGGCAGGGAGGCCTTATTGCTGCTCATCAGCAATTACAAACAGGATGAAGTGTCTGGGGCTGGCACTGATGCGGCAGGAGCTGATAGAGGCTGGGAGATGACWCTGTACCATGATCAAATGATGTGTGTTGATGGGTTTTTACTGCCTCAGCTTACTGCCTATTTCTGTGACATGCAGGATTGTCTGCTCCATGCCCCCATATCTGTCTGGATGGACAGATTGGTTTCTTCTCCTCCTGGTTATCTAAGAGCCTTCTCAAAGTGTTAYRATTTTTGTAGATTAAAATTCTCATAATGGTAAGGATCATAACAGTTATAGCTGTAAACAAAATTAAGGATTTGATCTAATTGTATGATTTATTTCCACTATACCTTTCTCAGCTTTAAAAGGCCACCCTTGTTCATTAAAAATAGTGGATATTGTTCACCTGAACTTTCTACAAAATGCATCCCATGGATTTTAGACTAATTGAGTTAGTTGGAGAACTCAAAGTGGTGGGTTTAGGGTCAGCACATCAAAAAGTATGTTGAAAGTCAGCTATAGCCGTGATGATACTTGCCTCTGAGTTTAAAAACTTCAGCTCTTCCTGGAAAGGTTTATAGGAGCTTGTTAACACACAATAATTGGGGTTTGGGGTTTTTTTTTGTAAAAAAGTCTTTCTTGATTTTTATCTATCACAGTCTAGCACATTTATATGCTAGACATCTAAATTTTCTCTTTATGAAACTGCAGTGAAAAAAAGGCTTAAATTGTAGTCCACTAAACTGAAGTGAAAAAAAAATGCCTTCAATTTTAGTCCGTATTTGCTTTGATCTAAAGAGAAGTTTTGCAAGTATCTTTATAGTTCATACATTAATCACTCATGCTGTTTACTTTTGAAGATAGTTTTCTTCCAAGTAGTGGAAAAAGCACAGCATTCAGAAATGAAAAGGCATGCAGCAGCATGACAGCATATGAAAACAGTGACTCCTATCCCTGTCTATTCAGTACAGCTAGGATAAAGAAACCAAATTTTTKTTCCTATCATCTTACAGTATTAAGACAGGAATTCTTTTATCT